CTTCCTTCCTTCCTTCCTTCCTTCCTTCCTTCCTTCCTTCCTTCCTTCCTTTCTTTCTTGCACGTGCGTCTCTTGATTGTCCTGTTCTTTTCTGGTTTTTCTTTGAGGTTGTTTTAAAATGTTCTTTTTAGTTTTATCTAAGCTAATTTTCTCCTATTTTTATGATTTTTTTTTTGGTTTCTCCTTCCTTCCTTCCCTCCCTCCCTGCCTCCCTGCCTCCCTGCCTCCCTGCCTCCCTCCTTCCCTGCCTCCCTCGCTCCCTCCTTCTCTCTCTCTTTGTGTTACTGTTTGTGTTTGTGCGTCTTGGCTATAGTATATGATTGTTATTTAAATATACATTTAATGTACTGATCTGAGTTTTCTCTGTACTTTCAGACAAGGATTGGTATCGTAGCTAACCAAGAACACAATTGTAGAACCCCAGACTCCTACCTCGGCTTCGGTACCAGACCCAACGGTGCGTGCGGCATCAAAAAGGGCATCACTGTAGGAAATGGTGCAGCCTGTGGCGGTGTCAACGGCAATAAAAACATCATTGCTATGGGTTTTGTTCTTGCTCGTTAATTTCCAAGACTAGAATGCCTAAGAACCAACCAAACATTACCATGATAATACTAGAGGGGTTAGTATAAATAATAAGRATTTTTCCCAGGGATAGTAGTTAAGATATCCAGTAGGACTGCATCTTGTAATAGTTATATTGTCCACAATGTAACTTACACTGTAATGGAGGCTATCTGCTGTGTGTTAGTAAATAAATGATGGCAAAACGAGATGATTTGAGTTCGTTTTTCTTTAATATAAGTAAACTTTTGAAAATCGTCGGCAAATATTTGAGAAATTTYCCCCCTCACGTTTAGCAATATAAAATCTCCCTGAATATTATCAGTTTAACTAAGTGATAGAATTTCTTTGATGGTCTGGAGGATTCAGTGGCGGATCTAGGGGTAGTGCGAAGGGGTTCGCGGGTTTGTTTTTTTCACCGTTTTTTTGTTRTTTTTTTTTGTAAGGTTTGAATTTTTGAGTACCAAGAAAAATATCTTCTGTAGATTGTAATTAAAAAGTTTACAGAAGTTTTGGGTTGTGGGCTGTTATAGCTTCAGTGTTTTTGGTGTCGTATTTGTAATTTGTGAAGCTCAAGTATTCCAAACAGATCGTGACATCGCCATTCTCTGACCAACTGCATGGACTACAAAAGCGATAATTTATTCAATAAATAAATCTTTACTTTAAAATTGAATTGTCGGGATTGGTCACTGTGTTTTGGCCATAGATCTAGAGATGCAATAGTTCGCGTTCCACTCTCGACTTATGTTCAATTGTTGAAGGCGTTCAATTAAGAACAAGCACCAAACAAACTTAATTTTTTTTGTGGTTAAAAACTTATTTTACAAAATGCTTATATATTTTAAAATTTAACTTCACGAACAACTGTCTGTTATCAAGATAAAATGTCTCCGACCATCTTCTCAAACTTGTTGTTAGTCGCTTCGTCCATGATGACTTTAGCGGTTGGAAATCGATCCTCATTAGCCTCGGTTTCGTGTACGATTGCTTCWTGATACAACGAACTGGAAGGACTAAGAATGACAGGCCTGACTTGTGATTGAATGGTGTGTTTTGAGAAAAGGACTACATCCCGGGCGTAGAGTGCATCTCACAGCCCCCTCAGATACCAAATTACATACATTTACTGTATTTTATAGCTTCCGTCTCCGCCCGGGATGTAGTCTTTATTTGTATCTTGAATGCTTCCCTTTGAAAACAACTTAGAATTCTTTCTTTAAAAAAACTCCTACTATACCATCTCTACTACGAAAAAACCATAAACGATAGACTGAATCTATATACGGGATACAGACGAAACAGTCCAGGGCTTACTTTCTAGCGCAAATTTCGAAACGCAGTAAAAAAAAAAAAACAAAAAAAAACAAAACGCACGGCACGGACGTGCTGTGACTGGGCGTGCATGTTTTTTTATTGCTTGATTAATGATCTAGCGCTTTTTGATCGGTTTAAAGGCTGTTGTCAATTCAGTATCGTGACCTTACCGTCTCCGTTACATTACAAAACAAAGCACTAAAGCCGATGGGTAGCTTTGGATGGCTATAGATGGCTATATATACCTATGCACGTATGGCTATGTTTGGTTGAATATGTATGGCTAGATACGGCTATGTATGTCTATGTATGGCTATCTATGCCTTTGGGTAGCAATGTATACTAATGTGTGGCTAATATGCATACCTAGCTATGTCCTGTGTTTACCGATGTATGGTTATGTATGGCAATGTATACCAATGTATGGCTATGTACACCTATGTATGCCCATGTATGTCTGTACATGGCTAATTATTACTATGCMTGGCTAGGGATGCCCATGTACGTCAGTGTAGGGATGGCCATGTATCACTGTCTCATACGGCCACGAACGGGAGGCTGATGGCGGTGAATGGCTAGTCCAATATTACACCAGCGAATACATGGACTAACACACACGACAACCTAACAAGGGTTCGGTTTCGGTTCGGTTCACACTGGCTGGGCGACTATATGACATCCAGCCATGCAGTACATACCCCCTACCCCTGTGAAGCAACKAAAGGTAAGAGCTATAAAGCTGTAAAAAAGGGGCTGTCAAAACTAATACAATGAAATTTCAGTCAAGGTTGTAATATTTAAAGCTTGGTTGAACACCGTAAGATATTTTAGAATTCACGACATGTACGACAGTTCATTTTAGGCCATTTCTCTTAAACCATTGTTAATATTGACTATGTTTAAACTTACTCTATTGAAAATGGCAATTAATAATTAGCCTTTAATATAGAATAAAATTCTGTACTTTCATTTAAAGGACCGTTCAAACTTCATCAATCGATACGTAGTGAAAAGACATAAAATGAAAGTGGTTGAGAAGGCTAAGTTGAAGTCATTTTATCATCCATGTTGAAACGTAGCTTGAGCTACGAATGAACACGCGGTCGTCAGAATTGTTTGTCGTGGTGTAACCTTTAATACCTTATTATTTCTTATGATCTATTGACTCCTAGGGCATTTCCTGACACATAGGGCGGATCATCACATTATTTCCAAACAGTGTTGTCCCCTTCAAGGATTGTTGTCAAGGATTTCTTTAAAATAAAACAGCTGTAAGTAAGCTTTTTTCCTTCAGATCTCAAATGTTTCATAAGAACTCATCTATATCTCTATATCGCAATGTTGTTACAGATTGAATATTAGATAAATTGATTTTTCTATGTTGGTGCATTTATTTCCAGATATGATGTTGTATTGCCGTGGTAACGGAGTACCAGATACCAACTGGTCGTGGGTGGTTTGTTTTGCCACAGCCTTTAACAATTTGCTACAGTTTGGGTTTTCGCAAAGTTTTGGTGTTTTATTGCCAGTTCTTTCGGAACATTTCCAGGAAGGAAGAGAGACAACAGGTCAGTATCTACTAAAACCCAGTTGTGAAATGAGGTTTTACTCTGTATTTTTGGACAGGGGTATAGTGAGGTCTTGGTCAGGGGGATGGGGGGGGGGGGCAATGTACCACCAAACTTGTAACCAGATGCTTCCGGTACTGACCAAGGGGAGCGTGGGCTATGGGTATGAAATTGTTTTCCCACCAATTTGCATGTATATACATTTCATTTTTAGAGTAGACAAGAACGTTAAAAGTATAGTAATTGAGATGCTCTCAGTTGACAAAATTTTTTTACKAATTAGTTCCATAGCCCATATTTTGAAATTCTAGCCATTTTGGTGACACTGGTACTATATAAATTAATATAACATTGTAATATCAATTATCTTTCTTTTGTGCAGCATGGGCAGGTTCCATTACTCTTGGCTTCACAATGCTTGTAGGACCATTTGCCGTCAAGTTGACTGAACGGTTTGGACAGCGTGCAGTTGCCATGGGAGCCGGACTTGGCTGTGCATTGTCTCTGCTCACCAGCTCATTTGCCAACCATTTAATAATTCTCTATTTTTCATATGGGTTGCTTTTTGGGCTTTGTGGTGGAGCAATTTTAAATACTGGTTACACTGTCACAACCAAATATTTCATAAAAAACAGGGCGTTAGCTACTGGAATTACTAATTCAGGTATAAGTCTTGGAGTCATGACACTTGGGCCAGTGATGGAGCAATTATTAGAAACACTAGCTTGGAGAAATACCCTAAGAGTGATGGCTGGTGTAATGCTGTTGATTTGCATTCTGGCATCTACATATAACCCAGTACGAATGGAGAATGGGGAAGGACAACRACAGAAGAAAGGCTGTCTATCTTTTATTGATTGTTCTGTGTATAGAAATGTTTCCTACACCATTGGAGTTATCACCATTACCTTGTCATTTTTTGGTCTCTATGTTCCTTTGATTCATTTGGTAAGCAGCATAACTACAGATTTGAAAAAATAAGTATTATAATAAAGTAAGAGTTACTGTAATTACCGAGAACGGAGGCAATGAGCCATATACATCTGAGGGCCACAGCCCTGTGGTATGTATAGGCTTATTGCAGATGTTCGAGGTAATTAAGTATTTTATTTATCATTTGAGAGGGTTTTTATCAAATGTTTATATATTTGACTTAAAAAAAGAAAATAAATAAAATAAAATAAGGTAAAAAAAAAAAAAAAAAAAAAAAAAAAAAAAAAAAAAAAAAGAAAAAAAAAAAAAAAAAAAACCTGCATGAAGAGGGTTGATGAATTAAACTGAATTGCTCATTATAAATCCACATTCAATATATAGTTATTAACTGGGTTAACAACTTTATATTGACCTCACATTTATAATGAAAATATAGCAAAAATAAAGCCTTGTGAATAACAAAGAAAACCATGACAATTGATAAATAATAGAGGTTATTTACCTAGGACGTCTGGATACAGAAAAACTGTGCCGAGGTCTTGAATATTCACATTTTCACTTTTTTTTTCTGGTTTGGTATCCTTAAATCATGCATTAGGATTGGTTTCATGAGCATGCAGCATTTCTAAGTGTCTAGTCTTTGAGATAGCAGTTCATAGGTGAACCTATTACTAATTGCATTTGTTTACTTGACCATGGTTGATATCAGGTTTGCCAGTGCCCTGTTTGCTGGCTTTACCTYTTACCACCTCTCACGGACGAGGACATAGGGCTACGTTTTGAGAAAAAACTAGGTCAATTTGGAATTGAATTGCATTATATATTTTTAAGATGGCATCTATTTTACTCCCTAAAACCAAACCCCAATGGGCCTTATTCACCTGGCAGCCATGTTGAATTAAACAATAGATTCCACCACGCGTAGCCTCAAATTCAAGCACTTGAGAATTGATTTATGCTGGGGAAACAAAGGTTTTTATTCTCATGAGAATAAACATGGCCGCTGTGTGATAAAGGTCCATGCACTGTAATGCAAACKTGACCTAGTTTTTTCCCCTTAACCATGGAACAGCTAAAATACTTGTGGCAAATTCCAAAATGTTTTCAAATATGCCTTCATACTTCATTCTAATTTGGTACATTCGTTTTCATATCTGTGGTTTTAAGACAATATTATTAATATAATACTAAAATCATAAAAATAGGACATACGAAGTATGATTATTTCTTTTTTTAATCTAGAAAATATGTCATAATTTTGTTATATATATTTCTTCTTTCAACAGGTGCGATTTGCCAAAGACCTTAGTATCTCCAGTAAAGATGCTTCCTTTCTGTTCATATMCATTGGTAGTGTCTCCACTGTTTCTCGTATTGTGATTGGTCAAATTATTGACAAGAAGTGGTTGACAGCCCTGCAAGCTGTCCAGCTGTCTTCATTCATCATGGGAATTTCTATCATTCTCCTTGCGCTTGCCAAGGAATACAGCCATTTTGTGATATTTGCAGTTGTTTTTGGAGTAACAAATGGAGGTTTTATCACAGCACAGAGTGTATTTTTGCAGAATACTCTTAAACCAGAAAAAAGTGCCATGGGTCTTGGAATGGGTTATATGGTCTATTCTGTTGCTGTTTGTGGGGGATCTCCACTTGCTGGTAAGTAAAGTACATGATGGTGATGAGACGGATGGTGGTGATGATGATAAATACTAGTAAAGGGAAGCACGGGTGGTGCTCTTCATGCTTCGAGGGTTAAACCACTACCACCAGCATTCTTCTGGGTGATCATCATTTATCACTAAGCATCACCATCACCAAAATCGTCATGCTTTATTATTATCGATTATCGTCATCATAATCGACACTAGCTTGTATTCTCTTGATACTTTATTAGTATCAATATTATCATCATCATAATTGACACTACCTTGATTTCTCAGGTTTTATTGCTGATGAATTTGGATCATRTATTATCTCTTTCTATATCATTGGTGGAATTGTGGTCTTCTCTTCTGCCCTGCCTTTCATTCTTCTGTGCTGCTCTTTCACAAACAAGAAAGAGCACCCRTTTGAAAGAGAAGAAATTCTCCCAGAAGAAAAGAATGGAGATGGGAATCACACACTTCTCGTCTCTACAGAATAATGTACAGAAGTGAGTGTTCACTTTATTTATTTTCACGATTTCATCATCATGCTTCTTGGGAGATATTGTAAAATAATAAATAAATAAATAAATAAATCTTTTTATTTAAGTGTCTAGTTTTCCTAGCCCTTTTGTACTAATACTCCATTTTACAGTTCTGTTCGAGTGACCACGAATAATAGTTGCAAGTTGAGGCTGCAGTTTCTGTGCATTAAGCAAAACTATACTTTTTATCATGCATGGAAACTCCAGCCTCGGCTTGGAACGGAACTGTAAAATGGAGTATTGGGGACACTTTTCACTCACACGCRCTATCATTACATTTAATATTCTATGCACACTGCAACACTCCACTCACATGTTGATTTTTATGGAGGGAGGAAACGATATTGTAAAGTTTCAATGTATATGTAAAGTGTAACAAATGCTTAACTGAAAATCATTGTCAAATGCAAGGAAATATTATGTTAATAAATATAATATTATTAACAAGTGAAAGGGATGAAAGGGATACAGATAAAACAAAGAAATATTGGTAACAGTAAGTTTATGCAATATACTTAACTCCCACTACCATATTGCTTTGTGAATTTTCTTTTTTATTTAAACAGTTGTATTTCCTYATGAGAATAGTAAGACAATTGGCAACTTTTGAAAAAAAACAAGAGACTGGGGCGAGTTTTGAATTTAATCTTATTAGAAAAWTTTTTTGTTGTTTGAGAAAGCATCTCAAGATTACYAAGTCTGGCAAATTTGAACATTATTGGATAAACCAGAAATATTAGCTTTCAAAAGTCTTGAAATTTTACAAAGAATGTGTGGTTACAGGGGACAGGGGGTCTTTCTCAAGACTGCACTCGCCTACCCGGAGGGRGTCTGGTAGAAGTGACGCCATCGTACAAAACGTCCTGTTACATAACACGAAGGATCAGTCGAAGGCAAAAGGATTGAACTCGGGAAGGAAAACTGCAGTGGCGTCCCGATAAGCCAGTAAAATACCAGGAATACAGTGAGTAAAATTCAACCAAAAACAGAATATATTCCTGGATTTTAATTTTTTTGGTGCTTTGAGCGCCACACCGAAACATGCATGGATTGTTGTACTAGCACCCACGTGTGGTCATTGTTTTGGACACGTATACGTATTTGTCGTTTTGCCTGGAATAGCAGACCAATTTTTTTGTCCCGATCTTTTTACTTTGATTTACATTTTTAAGCTTTCAGATACTAATATATAAAATCAACATTTTGTGCGAAAATGTATAAAGGAACCAAGACAATTTGACCAGGTATTACAATACTGAATTTAAAAGTAGTTTATACACTATGAGCTTTCTTTACAAACGAAACGAAGCAGAATGTACGTCCAATCGTTCCAAGCAAAAGCTTCTTTGTTAGAACGATCAAAATTCAACTACATGTACATTAGCCGCCGTAAGTAAAAGCTTAGGTGAATGCTGCCTAAGTCGGCTTTTTTGATTGGCATTTTCTCCCACCATGGTCCACCATATTCAGTTTAAAATGTTATGCTTACGGTGCTTTCAAAACCAGTTTATAACAGGTTTAACTGGAATTCCAGTAATTTTAATATCGTACTGAATGCGAATGCTTTTCGAATGCTTTCCGATGGTCCAGCTTTACCAGTACAGTTTKGCAGTAATTGCTGTTAAAACCAGTACGTTTATTTATTTTAATGGGGTACGAAAGCTTTTAAATAGRAAGATGAATBCCAAAACAAGGTGTTTGTTTGACGGCCCTACAATCGAACCACTGCCGCAGACGGATAAGAAAACAATCATTCCTACGACCAGAAAAGATCTTGATGATGGTTTGATGACTCRAAGGTCTTAGGAAGACYTCAATATTTCCTCTCTGAGAAACATGAATGTCCTTTTGGACGCTAATAAGGTCCCTCGGGACACTAATAAGGTCCCTCGGGACGCTAATAAAGTCCGTCAGGACACAACAAAAAAAGTTCTTCGGGACGCAGACAATGTACTTTCGGATGCAAAAATGGTCCTCCAGGAAATAAACTGAGAAGTATATGTTTTGAAAAAAACTGTCCTAGGGGACATTGACTAAGATAAGATAGTCAAACAAAGACCTATGTTTAGATTGAAAAGTGTTGTTTTTAAAACATCAGTGAAAGCTGTGTGTTATCTCGAGATGTAGAATTAAATCCAGGTCCAGTAGTTCATTATCATTTGAGTATCAAATACAAGTGCTGATTTTCTGTTGAACTATAGATTGTATAGACATGGTTTAAGACCATTAGATGTAGGTGGTGGTGGTGAGTGCTTTTTCAAATCAACGTCACACTAGTTATATAGTGATCCATGTCAACACTTAGCAATACGAGCACGAGCAGTAGGATATTAAGAGAAAATCCTGAGCGATTCATAGAAACTATACTTSATAGATCATGGTCACAATATTTGCAGAGTATGTCCATGCAAGGGACATGGGCTGATCATATTGTAATACAGCCAGTAACCACATGTCCCCTTAGGRGGCTTTTGTTTTGCATCGATAGTAAAATTACTGGAAAACTAGTGGTCCGCGGGTCGGATAAGTATCAAGTACCTGGAATTTCGTGATTTCGTAGCTTGAATAGTTCGTGATTTCCACCATATTCACCTCGCTCTGTAAGACATTTTGTCTGGAACTCGTACGTACTAAAACATGGAATGACCTAAAACCAGCTACAACCAGCTACAACCAGCTACAACCACCTCAACAATCTAAAATCACCTAGAACAAGCCATAAACTGGTTTAATGTCTATTCACAAGGGTAAAACCTTCATTTTTATGGAAAATTATAAGTTCGAAAATAAGATAAATTTTCGTTTATGTTAAGCAAAGTGAAAAGAAACATCTCGCTGTGAGCCACTGCGCTCTTGAATGGTAATTTTACTAAAACTGAATGAGTTTTATCCAAAATATAAATATAATATGTTATCTGGTTATTCTTTTCAACACCTTTGTCCAGGATTAATTGACTTGGCTTCATGCTGATTGGTTCTCGTGGTGTCGCTGGTAATCACTCTTAAGTAAATATCAATTACCCGAGAAACTTTAACTTGGCTTTCATTGGCTGAGCGGTTTTCAGTAATACACGAACTTCAATTGGCTAAAGGTACATGAATATTCAAGTATTCGAAGCCAACTTTGGCATGTGGACGCATACATTACTTAATTGCCAAAGTATTTCTGTGTTTGTCTATATTCTTTTTCATTCTTGAAATATGAGTCGTTTGCTATAGCTCAAATCAGCGTTGAAAAACGAAACGCAGGCACACTTTGAGATGTCAACACTGCACAATAAGATGCGGTAAACATTTGATTCATTTGATTCTTAGCCTGTGTACAGCCGCTTCCCACCCCTCCCCCCCTTCGGGGAAAAACGGGGGGAGGGGTGGGAACCGGCTGTACACAGGCTATTGATTCTGTGTACCTTSAGCATAGTTTATCGAGACGACGTGATCTAGAAAAGTACGCTGTTTTTCCAAAACGAATTAATATTTTTTAATGAAATTACATAAGCAATCTTTGTTAAATAAGCTTTAAGAAAATGTATATTTTGTTGGGATTTCTTTAAATATTAAGCGTTCTACGCGAACTCAAAGCAAATTACGACCGATTTCTGTCAGCTGATACCTCAAGCTTTCAGAAAACGTATGCTTTATGAAGAAGAATTTGATACAAATGAAACGCGCTATGAGCTTTCAAAGAAAAGGACCCGATTGTGTCCTGTGTATCGTTAAGTCTCCAACCACCTTCATTACATAATTCTTTTCCCCTGAGTTTTTAGGATTTGACGCTAATTTTTCGTTAGAATCATAACAAATACTTGAAAATAGATATCAAAAATTCAATGCAATCCATTAATGTGGCTGGATAGGGTTTTCTCGGCGCGCTACCTTCCAACAATTCATTGGAAAAACAACATCGCACCGTGTAAAACCCCTCAAAAAAACCATGTRGATTCATGAGAAAAACTGCATAGATAACGTTAATGGCTTTTCTTTGTTAATGCATTTTTATCTACGGTAGAGTGAAGAGACTCTAGAAAGATGCGTAATCTGTAGTTAAATTCATTCTGTTTGAGAATGGTGACTTAACCAGGGTGAACGTCATGACCAGTTTGATTTGGATGTTGGTATCATAGTCGATGATTTGTTCGTACATCGTACAGGGTTGTGTTGAAGGAATGCTGTTCCCTAGGGGGTACAAACTATTGTTGAACACTATTGGCTAAGTGTATAAATAATAGCGAAACGTGAACTTGATTTACAAACCTGACGAAGACTGATCACAGTCCTGGAGTCGACAATTTGTAGCACATTTTTCAAARACGTTATTTAAGATCTGTTATGACTGTTATTCATAGTTTTAAAAGTATGATCACAGATCGCCCAAACACCTATAATCTTAATATTATTATCACCATCATCATCATTTTTATTATTCTCATTGTTATTGTGTTGATTGTGATGGTGGTGGTGGTGGTGATTGTGGTGGTGATGGCGATGATACCGATGATGACATATGATCATCATGCTAATGATGATCTTATGTTGTCGGTAATGATGATAATGCTGGTGGTGATGATGATTATGATGATGACGAGGAGGAGGAGGAGGAGGAAGAGGAGGATTAGCTAAATGGAAGCGATGATCATATTTTTATATATAATAAAAAAAACTTCGTATTATGAGAGTAGGCACAGGTAGCCCAAGCTAGGTTCCTGTGGGGTCATGTTATAAGAAAATGTATAGCGATACTTAATTAAAAACCTCAATAAAATCGTCGAAAAGCGAAATAAAGGAAAGAYATCTCTATCCACAGAAACCTAGCTTGGACTACCTGTGCAGTAGGTAGACTAAAAAAAAGCAGTTGACTACGCCTGGATCATTTCTTGTCCATTATACAGTCCTTTGACTAAACGTTGTCGTTTGGTCGGCTTCATCCCTACGCGCCTAGACCGAACAGGATCATGGGGATAATTAATTGACAGTTACYAGCTGCCGCATATGTTATCTAACACGTCTTGAGCTCGCTGTTTTCGATCCCATTTAATTTGCTAAGACCATGCCTCGAGATTTAAGCTGGCGAGCAGTTTGGATGACGCAAGTTCTGGATAATTTACCCGTTATCCTTTTCGGTCTAGGCGCGTAGGGATRATCCGAACAACGACAACGTTTAGCCAAAGGACTGTATGTCTTAATTTTTAATGATAATGAAAATTCCTTGATCGTAAAATAATATATTCCTCTTAAAGCTTRAACTTAATTGCAGGTCTGCAAGATATTGTTAGTCTTTAAATCATGAAGGAAATGAAGAAGATATTGATAGCTAACCGAGGAGTGTGTGCTTGTCGGATAATGAAGACTTGTCGGAAGATGAACATCGACTTTGCGACTATATTCACCAGTGAAGACCAGCTATCCCTTCATGTAAGAAATTCTAAAGAAAGCTATCTTGTCGAGTCTTACATGGACATTAATGCCATCATTGACGCAGCAAAGAAGTGTTCAGCAAGTGCAATCCATCCTGGTTATGGATTTCAATCAGAAAATTATTTGTTCGCTGAAAAGTGCGCCGAAGCCGATATAATATTCATCGGTCCAGAAAAAGAAAGCATGAAGCTTCTAGCACAAAAGCATGTCTCTAAGGAGTTGGCAGTGAAGGCCAACCTACCACCTATACCGGCTTCAGGCCTGCTAAATAATGTAGAGGATGCCGTCCAATGGGCAAACGACGTTGGTTATCCATGTATTTTGAAGCTATCAGGGGCAGGCGGTGGAATGGGTATTCAGTTGTGTGAAAACGAGAACCACGTTCGAGAGAAATTCCCAAGATGTTCTATGCTTGGAGTCAAATTGTATGGGTCCAGTGAGATGTATGCAGAGAAATACATACCAAAAGCTCGCCACGTTGAGGTACAAGTATTTGGCGATGGGAAAGGAAATGTCATTCATCTTGGTGAAAGAGAGTGTTCCATCCAGCGTAGGTACCAGAAGGTCATCGAGGAGTCGCCTTGTCCAGCTCTTACCGAGGAGTTGAGAGAAAAGGTCTGCAAAATGGCTGTTCATCTGTGTCAATCTGTAGCCTACAAGTCGGCTGGAACAGTTGAGTTTTTGTTCGATGAAGCTACCAATGAGTTTTACTTTCTTGAAGTGAACACGCGCCTTCAAGTGGAGCACAGACTGACTGAGCTTTGCTATGGCATTGACATAGTGGAATGGATGATCTCGCAGGCTTGCCCCTCCATGAAGAGGGACATAAATCACACAGCATTAAAACCTCGAGGCCATGCAATTGAATGCCGTATTTATGCCGAAGATCCAATCAGTGGATTCAAGCCTTCCTCTGGAACGATCACTGAAGTAAGTCTCCCTACAGAAAGCTCGAACTGTGTTGTAGACACTTGGGTATTTGGAGGCTGCAACATTTCTTCAAGCTTTGATCCATTGCTTGCAAACATTGTGCAGTRGAGCCCAACACGCTCAGAAGCAGTGCGAAAATTGATCGAAACCTTAGGAAAGACCTACATTGGTGGTCCTTACAACAACGTTGATTTCGTGRCTGATGTCGTTAAAAGTCGTAATTTCATTCTCGGAAATACCCACGTGCAGATTCTGAAAGAGCACAYATATAAGCCAAGATGCATGGAAGTCGTTTCTCCCGGACTTCTTACGACAGTTCAAGATTGGCCGGGCCGTAAGGATAAAGGTTTATGGCGCATCGGGGTACCCCCTAGTGGACCCATGGATCATTTTGCTTGTAGAGTCGCAAACTGTATCGTTGGTAATMAAGAATCCGACGCAGTGCTGGAGATTACTCTCAGTGGTCCAACCCTAAAGTTTCGTTGTGACACAAGGATTGCTATGACAGGTGCATCTATGGACGTTACGCTAGATGGTCTCGCTATTCCAATGTGGGAGACAATAACAGTCGACGCTGGAAGTGTCCTTAAAATTGGAAGTCTTAATACCGGTCTGGGATCCCGAGCATACCTCAGTGTTGAAGGAGGTATTGACGTTCCGAAGTACCTAGGAAGTCGTTCCACCTTTCCAAATGGACAATTGGGCGGATATCAAGGACGTCCACTTAAAGCTGGTGATGTTGTGCAGTTTGAAAACTTAAGGACACCTCTCAGATCCGAAAACAATGTAATTCAACTAGATGCTGCAAAAATGAGAGCAGAATACAGAGAAGATTGGGAAATTGGGGTCCTTCCTGGTCCACATGCCAATCCAGAATTCCTAACTGACAAAGACGTCGACATGTTCTATAGTACCAAATGGGAAATTGGTCATAACTCTAACCGCCTTGGCATTAGATTGTTGGGTCCTGCACCAGAATGGGCCAGAACAGACGGAGGAGAAGGAGGAAGTCATCCATCAAATATTCACGATTGTGAATACGCAGTAGGAACGATAAATTTTACTGGAAACATGCCCATTATCATTGCTCAAGATGGGCCTAGCCTTGGGGGGTTCGTTTGCCCTAGTACTATTGTCYAATCAGAGTTGTGGAAAATAGGTCAAGTAAAAGCCGGGAATACCATTAGATTCAGGAAGATGACCATCGAAGAAGCAGTACAAGCAAGGATTGAGCAAAATGAGTTTATAGAGTCTCTTTCTTYAACACTGCGGATCCCAAAACCAGCATCTTTGCCTGCACGATACCCTCAAACCAATGCCGTTCTGCACAAGATCCCTTCATCTGATGTCCATCCAGGAGCAGATATTCGCTTGGCTGGGGACACTCATATTTTGATTGAATATGGCGAAATGGTTCTCGATCTTAATCTTCGATTTCGCGYACACTTTTTGGAACAATGGCTTCTCAAGCACGAGATCACTGGGTTGGAAGAAACTGCTCCGGGTGTTCGTTCACTTCAAATTCGTTACGACTCCCTCCTGTTACCTCTAACCGACTTAATCGAGATTATTCTCGTTGCTGACAAGGAACTTGGAGACATTTCGAATAGTTCCATCCCCAGCCGTGTCATGTACTTGCCAATGTGTTTCGACTACAGCGGCGTTGATCAAGCAATTGGAAAGTACATGAAGTCAGTACGCCCTCAAGCGCCATATCTGCCATCAAATATCGAATACATTGCTCAGAACAATGGTTTAGCTGGACGACAAGAAGTTGAGGAGAAGATTTTTGCTGCTTCCTACATTTGCCTTGGTTTAGGAGATGTCTATCTCGGTGCCTGCTGTGCTGTTCCCGTAAACCCGTTGCATCGTATGGTTACAACTAAGTACAATCCAGCTCGTACCTTTACACAAGAAGGAACCGTAGGACTAGGAGGATCCTACATGTGTATCTATCCAATGAATAGCCCTGGTGGGTATCAGCTAGTGGGACGAACGCTACCAATCTGGGATACGTTCGCAGTGACACACCCTAAGCTCTTCAGCAAAGAAAAACCATGGATGCTTGAAATGTTCGACCAAATACGCTTCTACCAAGTCAGCGAACCAGAGTTGGACAAGCTGCGCAAAGAATTTACCCAAGGGAAACTGCAAATTCGCGTGCAAAAAGTGGATTTTTCCATTGCTGAATACAATGTATTTCTTGGCTCCATAGCTGAAGAAACAAGAAAATATCGAGAAATCCAAAGCAAAGCTGCTGCCATCATGTTAAAAAAGGAAGAAAAGAGCCTTGAGGAACTCCAGAAGGCGAGTTTCAACTACATGAAGTTGTCGGAACAAAGGCTCAACGAAGTGCACCTCGGAAATGAAGTGCCCGAAGGATCGGTCGGAGTACACTCTTTAGTAACAGGAAAAGTATGGGAATCATTTACTTCTGTCGGGGATCAAGTTACCGAGGAWCAAGTGCTCCTTACGGTGGAAGCCATGAAGATGGAGTGTTCTAGCAGTGCTCCATGTTCTGGGGTAGTCTCGAAAGTTCTAGTAAAGGTTGGTCAACTGGTAAATCAAGGAGACTTGCTCATAATAATCAAGAAAAAATAAAAGAAATCTTGGAGTAAGAAAGAAAACAAACTTTGATTGAACTGCATCAAAACAGACTTTTTACAAAAACTGGTATTAAACAATTCCAGCGACATCATATCCATTTATAAATATTTACACCAGTATTAGTAGCTATTTAGTGACTAATAGTTGCTATCCCTCAACCAGAACATTCATTACACAAAGCTAAATACACAAGAGGCCATTCATTTTTGTCTTTTGTTTAATGAACTGTGCTGGTTGAGTGATATCAACTATTAATCAGAAATAGCTACTATTGGTCAGTATCAACTTTGTTTTATATTTCATGGTTTTACTGCATGCGCTCTGTTTTACCAGTTACAGTTTAAGTTCACCTCGAGTGAGCATCCTCAATAAGCTGCTGACGTTTGTATTAAAAGYTTTAATTTTTAATCCTTGTTAGTTTTTTAAATTTTTCCCATCATCCTCAGTGGTCTCAGCTTTGTAGGTATTTGTTAACTTTATAATACACTCAACAAAATTACTCGATACTGATTGGACAAGTGGAATACAATTAAATCCCAAACTGTACTCTGTGGGAGTCCCAATTAAATTCTTCAATTTTGTTGAGTGTATCATAAGAAGCTTTGAACCTTGGTAGGGACGCATGAGCTGGTTTGACTGTAATAGTGCAGTTTTCGTATGACTGTGAAAAGTTCACGGCACGAACACGGTCGTGACACAGCAAGGGATACGCGTGACAAATCACATTGCACGAGAATTTACTCTCCATCCAATCAAATACCCGGAACACGGCATAAACACGTCGCGGACACGGTCACKCCAAGATTACGGCACTTTTAAACCAATCATATTGCGCGTGAAAAAATCAGMCAATTAAAATTCTAGAAAGTATCACGGTCACGACACTTCACGCTTACGGCACCGAGCTTTTCACAGTCATACGAAAACTGCACYATGAACCAAAAAAAGGCACTGGGTGTGAGACATGGTGTCTGTCAACCTGTACATAGAGAAGCGAGTAAGACTTTATATAGGGATGTAGCCTAAGATGTAACCTAAGCTCTTGCGTATCTAATTRGAGGATAACAAGATTATTTAGCATATGAAAATTTAGCAAGACTAGGGTCAAACGTCGAACTTCACATGAGCTGAACCTAATGACATCAAAGAGGACGTCTTGTCATCCATCGTTTCAATAACGTTTGGCTYATGTGAAGTTCGACGTTTGACCTGAGCCTAAGACTTCATATAGGGGTGTAACCCAAGGTGTAATCTAAGCCCTTSTGCATCAGGATGATTATTTAGCCAATGTTATTTTTGCAAAGTGAGCCTTTATATAGGGATGATTATAGTCTCTACTGTCGTAAGTTAATTAGCACTACTCGATAATGCAAGCATCTACTGAGAGGAGCTTACCTTGGGTAAGTGTCTTTATTTTAAGTGGCTGCATGCTGCATTTAGGTAAGAATGTGAACGCAAAAGAACAACACTGGACTATAAGAATGACRGAAAGAGAGCAGTCTGAGAATGTTGAAGATTTTCCAGATTACCAATCTACACGCTGCTGATGCGTTGGATGTAATGATAATTACAGACATGCGCAAATCGATACTTGAGCGAGGAATCTGTTCCCAAGCACGCATGCGCATTAAGGAATCGTCTCTTTGTTTTCAATCGCTTGTAACAACATGTGCTGGATTTAAATCCAACCGGAAATCAGCCTTYTTTTCTAGGGGTGCCAATAGTTCCCTGGCCCGGAACTCCACTGTTTCTGGGATGCCAGCGAGACGAGCAACGTCGATACCAAATGATTTGTAGTCAACACCACTCTGTATCAATAAAGATAACATTTTTTTTACCTCGGTCTTACTTTGTTTACATGACCTCCTTACTCAATGTTTTCAGCATTGATTAAATGTTAATAGTTAGCATTGATTAAAAAGTTAAATAGTAAAATATTTTTATATGATTTGAGTGATGCATCTTGGAGATATCAAGGTTTATACTTCCAGTATGCTAATGAGTGTAATATCATAGGAGGCATTTGAGTTTATTTGTCATCATTTTTAAATCAAAACACTGATTACTATGAGAAAACAAACTTGCAATAACCTTTTTATAAACCCCGAGTAAGATAATTATATTTATACAGGATATTTTACTACCTTAGTAAATTTTTTCGTATATTTAATAATGCCTACTATGACATCACACTCATTAGCATACTGGAAGTATAAATATTTTACTATCAAACTTTTAACTTCATGTAGAATCAATGCTGAAAACATTGAGTTAGGGGTCAAAGGCACTTTAAGAGTGAATTTAATTCTGACGAACAAAAAGTAATACTCAAGGAAATTTCTTTGCTTACCATAACCATAAATGTAAATGTGATTATGATAAACAAAGAAATAATGCTCAAGAGAATTGCAACGAACGGGAAAGCAATGGAATTTCTTTGCCTACCATAACCTTATATGTAAATGTGATTATGATAAACAAAGAAATAATGCTCAAGAGAATTGCAACGAACGGGAAAGCAATGGAATTTCTTTGCTTACCATAACC